GTAGCTGGGATTACAGGCACACGCCACCATGCCCAGCTAATTTTTTGTAGCTTTAGTAGAGACGGGGTTTCACCATGTTGACCAGGATGGTCTCGAACTCTTGACCTCGTGATCCACCCGCCTCAGCCTCCCAAAGTGCTGGGATTACAGGCGTGAGCCACCGCGCCCGGCTTCTTTTTTCCTTTTCTTTGTTTACTTTGCAGTTATAAGCACTGTAATAAATAATTTTGTAAACAATTACTTCTGTAAATATATGGGCAAGACAAATATGTAGAACTAGTACTGTAATCTTTTTCTTTTTTATTTATTTATTTTTTTGTTGTTGAGACTGAGTATTGCTCTTGTTGCCCAGGCTGGAGTGCATTTGCACAATCTCAGCTCACTACAACCTCTACCTCCAGAGTTCAAGCGATCTCTGGCCTCAGCCTCCTGAGTAGCTGGGATTATAGGCACCCACCACCACATCCAGCTTATTTTTGTATTTTTAGTAGAGACGGGGTTTCGCCATGTTGACCAGGGTAGTCTCAAACTCCTAACCTCAGGTGATCTGCCCTCCTCGGCCTCCCAAAGTGCTGGGATTACAGGTGTGACGAACCATGCCCGGCCAGCATTTGTAATCTTGATTAATATTTCCAAATTGGCTGGGTGCAGTGGCACATCCTGTAATCCCAGCTATTCAGTAGGCTGAGGCAGGAGAATCACTTGAACCTGGGAGGTGGAGGTTACAATGTGTTGAGATTGTGCCACTGCACTCCAGCCTGGCAACATAACGAGACTCCATCTCAAAAATACACATACATATACATATATATATTTCCAAACTGCCCTCTGTAGATGGTTAAACAATTTACACTGACACCAGTAATGCATGAAAGCACCTGTTTGACCACAATCTTCCTCATATAGTGTGTTATCCTTTTTTTTTTTCAGTTTTCCTAAGAATTCTGAGCACATATATTAAAATGTTTAATTTGGTTTGACAGTTTAAAAAATCGTATCAGCTTTTCAGCTAAAGGAGAACACAGATAATAATACGTATTCTTAGTCGGCACTCTTGGTCTAAGCAGCACAGAGGCATACCGTAAATGCAGAAAGTTTGTGTACATTTCAGTTGTTAAAATATATAATTGGTTTAAAAAAAGACAAAAATGTAAACAAATACATAATTGAAATTTCAAAGTCCTTTTTATACAAATATTTGTTCCTTTGTTTTACCTATAAAACTTTTCTTCCTCTGGGCGCGGTGGCTCAAGCCTGTAATCCCAGCACTTTGGGAGGTCGAGGCGGGTGGATCACGAGGTCAAGAGATCGAGACCATCCTGGTCAACATGGTGAAACCCCGTCTCTACTAAAAATACAAAACATTAGCTGGGCATGGTGGTGCGTGCCTGTAATCCCAGCTACTCAGGAGGCTGAGGCAGGAGAATTGCCTGAACCCAGGAGGCGGAGGTTGCAGTGAGCCGAGATAGCGCCATTGCACTCCATCCTGGGTAACAAAAGCGAAACTCCATCTCAAAAAAAAACAAAAAAAAACTTTTCTTCCTTATGTTAAAAATATATGTGTATATGTATATATGTGTATGTGTACATATACACACATATTTAAGAATTTGGGCTGGATGACATGGCTTTCACCTCCCAGCACTCTGGGAGGCCAAGGTGGGCAGATCACCTGAGGTCAGTAGTTCCAGTAGTTCTACCCTGGCCAATGTGGGCAGATCACCTGAGGTCGGTAGTTCCAGTAGTTCCACCCTGGCCAACATGGTGACACCCAGCCTCAATTAAAAATACAAAAATTAGCCAGGCGAGGTAGTAGGCGCCTGTAATCTCAGCTACTGGGGAGCTTGAAGCAGGAGAATTGCTGGCACTCGGGAGGCAGAGGTTGCAATGAGCCAAGATTGTTCCATTGCACTTTGGCCTGGGCCAACAACAGCAAAACTCCATCTCAAAAAACAAAGGCCGGGCACGGTGGCTCACGCCTGTAATCCTAGCACTTTGGGAGGCCAAGGTGGGTGGATCACCTGAGGTCAGGAGTTCAAGACCAGCCTGGCCATCATGGTAAAACCCCATCTTTAAAAGAAAAAAAAAAAAAAAAATTTGAAGAATAAATATTAGCAGGATATACATTCACTGCTTTCTTTCTTTTTTTTTTGAGACAGTCTTGCTCTGTCACCCAGGCTGAAGTGCAGTGGTTCGATCTCAGCTCACTGCAACTTCCACCTCCAGGGTTCAAGCAATTCTCCTGCCTTAGCCTCCTGAGTAGCTGGGATTACAGGCATTGGCCACTGTGCCTGGCTAATTTTGTATTTTTAGTAGAGACAGGGTTTCACCATTTTGGTCAGGCTGGTCTCGAACTCCTGACCTCAGGTGATCCACCCAATTTGGCCTCCCAAAAGTGCTAGGATTACAGGAGTGAGCCACCATGGCCAGCCCACACTGCTTTATTTCTGTAATTACAGTTAAGATTTATTTTAGCATTACTACATGCCAAATCCTGTGCACCTCATATATACACAAACCTATTTAATCCTCAAAATGGCTCTAAAAAGTAGACATTATTATCCCTGCCTTACAGTGAGGAAACTGAGACTCAAAAAGTCTACCTAATGTACCCAGGGTCACAAGAAGTTGCCAAGGCAGAGATTTTAAGTCTCCAATTTATCTGACTAGAAAGCCTGTAGGTCAAATTTATTATACCAGCTAAATAATGAGCATACTGGAAAAATCTGGGGAAGTACCAGGACATTTTTTTTTTTTAGATGGAGTCTCGCTCTGTTGCCCAGGCTGGCGTGCACTGGTGCGATCTTGGCTCACTGCAACCTGTGCTGCCTGAGCTCATGCAATTCTCCTGCCTCAGCCATCTGAGTTGCTGGGATTACAGGTGCCCACCACCACGTCTGGCTATTTTTTGTATTTTTAGTAGAGTCAGAGTGTTGCCATGTTGACCAGGTTTGTCTTGAACTCCTGACCTCAAGTTATCTGCCTGCCTTGCCTGCCAAAGTGCTGGGATTATAGGTATGAACCACCACACCAAGCCAGCACCAGGACATCTTACCTTGGCTAAGGTAAGTCAAGATATTGCTGAAATTATACAAATAAAGGGTGGCCAAAGCAAACCATTTTCATCCAAATGTATACCACTCTATAAACCATCAATGGACAGCACTGTTTCAAATTTTAGAAGTTTCACAAATTTCCCAAAGAGCAGAGCAAAGAGTGAGAAAGCATGTAAAGAGATAAATCAGCAACCAGATAAACACAAGAAATATAACAATGTTATTTTAAACAATTTCAAATATATGCGATACTTACCTGATTTCATTTCCAAAAGTGTATTGTTATCAATTTCATGGTTAGCTTTTCCAGGCTGAGGTACTCGTAGTGGTATGATCTGAGGGACACACACTGAACCAGCAGTCATTTTCTCTCCTTATATATATATATATATATTTAAAAAACTCCAATGTGCACTTATAGCTGTACACAAAAGCTGAAGAGCAGCACTTAATTTAAATGCAGCAAAACTAGTAAAAATAAAAAAGAATACTGTTAATATGGCACTATAAATACTATTCCCTCTTTAATGGAAATAATTATTGCATTTCAGCTGTATTTACTATTGAGGTCTTATGTGGGGTTTCGATTATCTAAATACCTCACTTCTGAGAAAGAAGTGTAAATGAATAAGATGGGGGAAAGAAGTTACTACTTTAAAAGAGCAAATTAAATGAGTAAGGCAAAAGAGAGACTATCACTAATTCTCTGACTTGAGTTCCCTCTAAATCATTATCACCTTTTCCTGCCTCTGGTGTGTGTCGCCTCTCTTGGTTTCAGGGCAAGTCATCATACAAGGGGAACAGAAGTAACTCTGTGTGTACCACAAAATGTTAGTTAGAACTAACTTTTTTGGGAAAGCTCCAGGTTCACAGCCTTGCCATTGTCACCATAGCAGTTCTAGAATTTGAAAGCTGCAAAGACACTTTAGAAGGACTGCAGAGTACTACTACTCAGTGGAAAGGAAGTTTGCAAGAAGATAAACAGTGACCAACAAACACAAGCCTCCCATTCCATCTACTGTATTTATAAATCCTAGTATTTATAATTAACTGTCAGTATGAAAGCCTTACTGGTCTTTTTGGGGATGAGGGTAGGGAGGAAGGTTGTCATATGTTTAATGCACAGAAGGTTTCAGGGGCAAAAATGCTCACCTTAACACAGCAACCATTTACATCTCTGTATTGCCTTTTCAAATTTCATTAAGAATCCATAGATTTTACTCAGTTATAATACACATATTCATTCTGTTTTTATAGTCTACTTCTTGCATTCTCCCTGGATTCTTTACAGTTTTCCATGTATTTATTTACCCATTTGTGGCTGAGCATTTAGGCTATCTCTCGTTTCTTTTTAGTTTTGCCTGTTGCAGTTATAATAATGCTGATCTGAACATCTCTGCAGTTTGAGCTTTGTACAGACTGTATTCTCAAAAGTGGGGTAACTAAATTTAAGGGATGAACGTAATGCCTTGTTGGATAGTTTCGGATCGAGGGCCAAGAATGTAAAATACAGATACTGACAGCACCGCAATAGCTCCTACAGGAGTGTGGCTGACTTGAGACTTGCCCATAGTCGCATTTCCATTCAAGTGAAAGGCAGATAAAATAAAAGTAATTGAAAATTTAATTCTAAATAAAAATATGTAGGAGAGGGAGTAATTCGCGAGCGTCAACTAGGAGCTGCCCTTAGGAAGCTGGGGTGGCCGGGGCCCCCATGCAAAGGGAATCAAGAATAGGGCGGACCCATCAGGCCCAATGGCAGCGTGCAGTCAACGGGATGCCCAGACCCCTCAATTCTCCCAACTTGGACCGCCCCGCCTCGCAACCCGGATCTGGAACCCCGTTTGGTAGTCCCCGCCCATCACGGGCTGCCAAGGACACCTACATCCTTTCCGCTGGAGTAAGGGAAGCTCTTCTCCTCTAACCGCCCTCCACTTCCTCTAGCCGATCGAGACCCCTAATGCATCTCTACCGCCCTCAACCCGATCGCCGGCCTCTCACCGCCTTTTGCCTCCTCCTTTGCCGCCACCCGGGTAACCACAGACGCTGCGAGCCGCGCCCCGCCCACTGGGAACAGGGCAGATGATTAGCGGAAACGCAGCTTCTTAGCAACTAGCCCCGCCCCTGCCTCGCCGCAGGGAGACTGGTACCCGCCGGGAGCTCCTTTCCCAGGGCTTTCCAATAGGCATCTAAGAATATTCCTTCATAGGGTTGCAAAGTGCTAAAAGTTGGCTTCCCAACTCAGAATGAAGGAACCAGACTTGTGCGTCCGATAGGCATTGACATTCTGGAAAACAAGAATAAGAACCTGTAGTGGCGCCTATAAGTAGGAAGGAGCAGGCGCGGCTTGGCCACCTCCCACCGAAAGGCAAGGAAGGACCGGCTGCGACACGAGGAAAAAGGCCCCTCGCCCTCGGCCGAGCGCTTTCCTCTGCTGGTTCCCCGGGTTCCCCTGCTTGCTAGCGGGCTGCTCAGTGCGTCTTTCCCCGCAGGCGTCAGGTACTGCGCCTTCATGGCAGAGGTGAAGGTGAAGGTGCAGCCGCCCGACGCGGATCCGGTTGAAATAGAAAACAGGTAAACCAGGGAGGCTCCGGCTTGGGACTCTCGCTTTTTGGGAAGTTGTGATGATGCGCTTCCTTCCAACTTTGACGTGATCAGTGCTTTGAGAGGAGACCCTCGGCTTTCCTTCCCCGCAGTACACTTTTGAATGCATGTTCTGATCCAGGATCGCTCTTGTCAGTAAGGGAACGTCTATGACAAAACGTTTAGGCAGAGTTAGGGCGCAGTTGGTGATTACGAAGCAACATTAAGCCAGGTGTTATCAGTGCAGTATTGAACTCAAGACTTTTAGGGCACCCAAAGCTTCTTTCACTTTTATATTCTTTACCGAGGCACTGCCACTCTTAGATTCTCACGTAGTTTTGAAAGACCGAACTTTCTCAAACTGTTAAGAATAATACATTTGTTGATCCTGTTGACTAGGTGAAGACCTTGACTTATTTTTGTTTGGTAGGTATGATTCCAAAAACAGGCCCCCATTATGGTGAATTGTCATAACAAATTTTGGCTTCCCACCAGAAACATCTGCATTTGCTTCCTGCTTGCAGGTTTATGACTTAACTTTGTCATGCTTATTATATGAGAAAATTGAAGTCTCAGTTTAATATTTTTCCTGTGATTTCATTAGATTTTTGCTCTGATTTAAAGTTCATATTAGTGAGAAAAAGAAATATTCTTCTTAAATAACAGTAATACTGTAAACATGTATTTAGAAATAATCTTAAATTTCTAACATGCTTTAATCCAAAACCATCACAGAAACCCAGATTGTCTGCCAATTGTGAAAAACGCACAATTTCAAACTATTCTCCTTGTATTTTTACACCCACTGCCTCTTGAAGCAGGCAACCATGAAGAGTAACATTAATACCTTTGTTTCTAGGATTATAGAATTATGTCACCAGTTCCCTCATGGAATCACAGACCAAGTAATTCAGAATGAAATGCCTCATATAGAAGCCCAGCAGCGGGCAGTGGCCATCAATAGGTTGTTGTCTATGGTAAGGTGAATCTAAGTAATTTTCATAATTACTGATATGTTGATTATCATTGGGTTTTATTATGTAGTTGTGATGGTTAATTTCATGTCAACTTGGCTAAGATACTGTATTCCTAGATACCTACTTAAACATTTTTATTGGAGTGTCTGTGAGGGTGTTTCTGGAAGAGATTAGCGTTTTGAATTGGTGAACTGAGTAAAGTGGATGTGGGTCCATTGTGGACGAGCATCATCCAATCCATTCAGGGCCTAAATAGAACAAAATGGCAGAGGAAGATTGAATTCACTCTTTGAGTTATATCTTGAGCTGGGCTATGGATCTCATGCCATCAGCACTCCTGGTTCTCAGACCTTCAGACTCGGACTGGCATCTACGCCATCAGCTGTCTGCTCTCAGGCCTTTGATCTCCAACACCAACTTTCCTGGGTCTCCAGTTTGCAAAGGGCAAATCATGGGATTCCTCAGCCTCCATAATCACAGAGCAAATACCTTATACTGAATCTTTCAAGAGAGAGATGTATCCTATTAGTTCTGTTTCTCTGGAGAACCCTAATACAGCAGTCATAAAACGAGAAAGTGTATTAGGTTTGATTGATAAGACTCTAAGCCAGGAAACAGGTCAAACTGCCTGAATTGAAAAAAGAAGAAATAACTATGCATTATAAGACAAATGAAATAAATGTATTGTCTTATAACTGTTGTATTTATTAATTGCCACTGTCGTACATAAGCGTAGTCTGTTGTCACCTTCTGTTTGCTTCCTACTACTAGTGTTGGGCCATTTCCTATGAAATATACCATCCCTTCCACCTCCCACCTGCCCCCGATTTTTCTGAGTCATAGCAGAGCCGAGTCATCAGGGCTTCATTCTCCACATTGTCACTCTGAGCATTTCAGCAAGTAAGAATGAGTCCAGTTGAATGAAGAATGCTGGGCCTTGGGGAGGAAGTGCAGCCTTAGCCCCCAGTGGCACCACAGTGGAATTTATCAGTAAAGCCATTCTCCAACTGTCCAGAAACAAACAAACAAGACTTTCTAAAAACCCACCTAGTGGGGCCCCATGCTCTAAATCTCTCCTTACTTCATCATCAAAACATCCTTTTCCTGAGAGAATTTCAGCTTGGCTTCAGTAGCAATTAGGTTAAAGAGTTATATGCCAAGACCTCATCTGAATGACTGATTTGGTTTTGTGTGTGTGTTTTTTTTTTTTTTTTTTTTTTTTTTTTTTTTTTTTTTTTTTTTTTTTGAGACAGAGTTTCGCTCTCGTTACCCAGGCTGGAGTGCAATGGCGCGATCTCGGCTCACGGCAACCTCCGCCTCCTGGGTTCAGGCAATTCTCCTGCCTCAGCCTTCTGAGTAGCTGGGATTACAGGCACGTGCCACCATGCCCAGCTGATTTTTTTGTATCTTTAGTAGAGATAGGGTTTCACCATGTTGACCAGGATGGTCTCGATCTCTTGACCTTGTGATCCACCCGCCTCGGCCTCCCAAAGTGCTGGGATTACAGGCGTGAGCCACCGCGCCCGGCCAGTTTTTGTTTTTTTCTTTTTAGTTCATGAATTTCTCCTCAGAAAGACTGTTGTTTTTTAAGTCTACTAGGCTTGTTGGATTTCCAAGGGCTCTGGATGTGGAGATTTGGGGTCAAGTGAATCTTTTCTTAAACCTTTCCCATCAGTTTTCTAGCTCAAGGGTTGCCAAACTTTTTCTACAAAGTGCCAGAGAGTATATGTTTCAGGCTTTGTGAGCCATATGGTTTCTGTCACAACTATCATTTTAGCAAGAAGTAGCCATGGTCGATGATACATAAACAAATGGCTACAGCCAGGTCCCAACAAAACTTTATAAAAACAAGCTGTGGGCTGGGCACGGTGGCTCATGCCTGTAATCCCAACACTTTGGGAGGCTGAGGCAGGCAGATCACGAGGTCAGGAGTTCGAGACCAGCCTGTCCAACATGGTGAAACCCTGTCTCTACTAAAAATACAAAAAATTAGCTGGGCATGGTGGTGCACACCTTTAATCCCAGCTACTTGGGAGGCTGAGACAGGAGAATTGCTTGAACCTGGGAAGTGGAGGTTGCAGTGAG